TAGGGGAGAGTGCTGTACCTTGGAACGGTTGTACCTTGGAACAGGACCGATTTCAAAGTATACAGCGCCATCTTGTAATTCTCATCATCATATATCAGTGAAGTCTGCCTCAAACCAAACTACAACTCTGTTGTACCGTCATTAGCGCCGTAGTTTTCTTTTAACCAAATATTTATGTTCTTCGCAGAATCAAAGTAAAAATAAAGGTGGTTGGTTTTTTGAGTTTTCCGGCAAAAGGTAAGAATCATTTAATTTTCTTTTTCATTATTTTATTTCTGCATATCTTTAAGTACGTTATGGTTATATTGGAATTCCAACAGCATAACCGGCAAATTGTAGACGGGCGCCTGTATACAAAATGGCGCACTATTGTACCTTGGAACACGTCGTCGGTTGTACCTTGGAACGGTGTTCCAAGGTACAGAAACACACTATTAACAATTCAATATGTCTGATTTGATTGTTTTTTTTATAGAAATTGAAAAATGCCGAGAAGTAAAGAAGGGAAGAAAAGAGACAAGGTTGACAAAGAAAATTTAGAAAGAGCTGTAATGGCAGTGGAAAATCATGAAATTTCATTTCGTGAAGCTTCTAAGGTTTACGAAGTTAAGGTAGCAACCCTACATCGTCATGTGAAATCCCATATTCAACGTGGCAAACAACAATATGAATACACTGCCAATAATGCTGTAAAACAAGTTTTTTCTAACCAAATGGAACTTGAATTGTTGAGCTATGTGAAGCAGGCAGCTCTAATGCATTATGGATTGAATAAAAACAACATGCGAAAACTTGCATATCAATTTGCAAAAGAAAACAATGTGATATATCCCCAGCAGTGGGACGAAAATCAACTTGCTGGAGTGGCGTGGCTACGTGGATTTGTCAAGAAGTATTCAAATCAAATCTCTTTACGAAAACCAGAAGCCACATCTCTCGCGCGGTCAACAAGCTTTAATCGCGCGAACGTGCAGACGTTTTTCACAAATTTGAAAAGAGTTTATGCGAAATATGGTCCATTCGAGCCACATCAGATCTATAACGTTGATGAGACAGGTATGACTACCGTCCATGTACCGCCCAAAATATTAGCTCCCAGAGGTATCAAACAACTTGGTAGTGTAACATCGGGTGAAAGAGGCCAAAATGTTACCTTGATTGCAGGGATTAATGCCATCGGAAACCATTTGCCGCCGATGTTTGTATTCCCAAGGGTGCATTTTAAGGAATTCATGTTGAAAGGTGCGCCCGTTGGCAGTAAAGGAGGTGCAAATCAATCTGGATGGTCCAACGAGAAGCTATTTCTTGAGTGGCTGGATTTTTTTATAGAACATGCGAGGCCAAGCAAAGAAAAACCCGTGTTATTAATCTTGGACAACCATGAAAGCCACGTGAGTGTAGCTGTGATCGAAAAAGCTCGTGTGTCTGGGATAAAGATGCTCACTTTTCCGCCACATACTTCGCACCGTCTGCAGCCACTGGATCGTACAGTTTTTGGTTCTTTCAAATCTCACTACAACCGGGCAGTGAATGATTGGATGTCATGTAACCCAGGAAAACCACTGTCAATTTATGAGGTTGCAGAAATGGTGGGCAGAGCATTCCCTCTTGCATTCACAAGCAAAAACATTACAAGCGGCTTCGCTGCAAGCGGAATTGTTCCTCTGAACGAAGACATTTTCTCAGACATTGATTTCCTGTCGTCCTATGCCACGGATCGTCCAAACCCAGACTATGCAAAAAATGATACTGAAGCATTGGATACTAGCGCAGACAGTCCCATTTCACCGACCCCAGCTGCTTCTTCTAGCTGCCAGGCTAAAGTGTCTGTCGAAAGCATAAGGCCGTTTCCTAAAGCAGGCGCTAGAAAGGTAACTTCAAGAGGCAGAAAAAAAGGAAAATCTACAATATTGACAGAGACTCCAGAAAAGTTTGAAGTAGAGTCCTCAGAGTTGGAAAAAGTCGACGGAAGAATATCCAATAGTGTCAAAACAGCCAAGAAAGTATTGCAACTGGAAGAAAGCTACAACAAAAATGAAGAAGTAATGTCTCTAAGAGGATCGTCCGATGACGATGATATTATGGCTGAGTTTGAAGAACAGGAACTGGAAAATGAAATTATGGAATATGTCACGGGGGAAAAAGGTATCAAGGATATTCTGGGTCTTCCGAATGTGGTTAGAGAGATTGATCAACACGTCGCATTTTTATACCAAGGGCAAGTCTATCCTGGCAAAATTGTGGCATATGACGAAGAAGGCGCAACTATTTCCTCCATGCAGAAATCCCTCAAGTCGTGGAAGTGGCCAGAGAAGTCGGATATATTAAACTATCCTTGGACAGATGTTCTGGGATCCATTATGCCGCCTAAGCAAATATCAAAAAGGGGGTTTTATGCCATTCCTGAACTTTTGAAACTGGAGTAATAGTAAATTAAGTTTCAACAGCTCAGAATTTTTGAATTCTCATGAATCCAGTTTTTGAATTTGTCTACCCAATAATAATAAAAGTTTTTTATATACATTTAAGTTGTTTTTTTCTCATGTACCGAGGTACATGATATGCTGTTCCAAGGTACATGACGGTATTGTACCTTTGAACGTTTGAAGCAAGTGTATTAAACAATTGGTAACTTCCACAAATTTAGTGATAAGTTTTCAAAATAACTCGGAGGTAAGGTCAAAAGACAGGGCTGTATGAAAAAATAAATATCAGCCAAATGGAGAGAAAAACTAGGAAAAAATAAAATAAAAACCACAAACTGTTCCAAGGTACAACACTCTCCCCTATAATTAAAAATCTTACCTTGAATCACACATACGCTGTCTTCTCCGAAAAAGAGCTCTCCTTCGAAGTTCCAGTTCTGTAACACAAAAGCAAACCCCAAGCTACAACGCTCGGAACGATTATATGAGCCAGAAGGGCCAAAAATAGCTTACTCGTAGCCGGCTCGTTTACCCATACGTTAAATACAGGTGCGTTGCTCTTGAAGAGAGTCACGACCTCAAACACTTGATGCGAACAAAATACAAAGCTCCGATCATAAATCGTCGGAAGGTTACACTAGATTAACGGTATTGAAGCAAATAAAAAAGGTTGTGTAAAAGATCGTATCTTCCGAAAATTCCACAATCAGCTGGTCGCTCCCGGTATCGTTTAGGTGTTAGCGCTGATCTACTCGGTGGTACACCGGAATATTCGCAAGATGCAAATTCATCTACATACAAGGATTCGTCTGTACATGGATTGATCGGTACAAGAATTCATCTACTACATGGATTGATCTACTACATGGATTGATCTACTACATGGACTACTACATGGACCTACCCTAATGTAATAATGAAGATGTAACACTCCCTAACGAGATTTTTAATAACATACCTGAAATCGTCAGGAGGGTAATGAAAAATACTTAAATCAATGAAATATGGAAATTATCCAAGAGGTTGTGAATCTGAAAGAATTTTAGATAACATAACGTAAAAGAAAACCAACGCCATTTCACTTACATGTAGGTAGGGCGATGAACTTCCACCAGATATAGCCTCACAACGGAGAAAACGGCTTCTGAGTTACTCTACTCGACAACGCCAATAAACAGGTAAAATTGCCAGAGATTTTACGTGAATGATGGCAAATATTACCCACTGGTTTTAGAAGAATTCACAATGCCACGCTCTACAAGTACAACCTCGTTGGCTTTAAAACGGAAATGAAGTGAAAAAATTACGCGATTCTGCGCGAGGAAAGAAGCACGCGTACAAGTGACGCCATCTCACCTATATCCTACCTAACTTAGCAAGCGGTAATTTTGAAATTTGAATATGGATAAACTAAACTGTTACACGTACTTTAGTTGAAATTGGATAAAGAAATAAAAGCAGCACAAAGAAGGACCTATCGTGGAAGGTCTGACATAGTCCTGTCAAAAAGAGCTATGTCACTGTAGTACACAATGATGAGTCAAGTAAATCTGGACTAATAGAAAATATTTCAGAAAGCTAAAGTATATTAAAGGACAAAGTAGAAGTGCGCTAATGCAACAATAGTTAAATAAGTAAAAAGGTTTTCGCCCTAAGGCGAGTAACTTCAGCGCATTTTCCATAAATTGATCAATACTTCCCCAAAGGCCATACCTATGTGCGCTATGTTTTTCATTACTAGTGGCATATATGGTTAAAATTTTAAAGAAATATCTTCATAAATAAGGAAGTTGACACTTACTGCGCAGTTGATATTGCGCGTCCTCCGCATGCGCTTATTAATCTGATATTTACAATGTGCAATACGTTTGCTTTTACTATAAGCATCTTTAATTAAAATTTCAAAGAAATATCTCCATAAATATGAAAGTTGGCATTCCGCAGTCTGCGCATGCGCACATCTGATTTTTTCTATACTATATGCAATATATTTGTCTTTACTACACGTATCTGTGATTAAAATTTCAACAAAATATATTAATAAATAAAAAAGTTAACATTGCGCAGCCTGCGCATGCGCAGTTCAATCGTCAAGATTTTTCTTGACTCAGGTACCAGAGCGATACGCTACCGAATGCAAAAAGAACGAGCTAAATATCTTGAAAACTGTAGGAGTGGTTAAGGCCTGGGACAGACGGACGGACAGAGAAAGTGGCTGCAATAGCGCACCCAACTTCGTTGGAAAATGCGCTAATAAAATATAAGATTAAAAATCGAGAAATAAATGTTTACAAATGACGCAAATATGAATAAGATCAAGGAAACGATTGTTGTAGGTAACAATGTTTAATCATAGAGTGCTAGAGCGACATCAAGTGGATAAAGGATCAGTCGTTGGCGATAAGGAATGTTTCTCATTCTTCCCATGGAATATGATATGCTGATACGAGACTTATCTAGAAGCTTTTTGTTTGCTTCCTCAGTAAATTAAAATGGGTTTAGTTTCAGTCTTAACATCGATGCTGAAGTGATAAATAGTGAAATCCGCGCTCGTGCTATAAATGTGAGTAGAATTAAGTGATAAACAATAAAACTTAATAAGCATTAATTATGCAATCCTGCGTAGCTTTCCTTCGTTTTCCCATTTGCAAATAAGTGACGATTTTGACACCTTATGACCTTTTGGGGAATAGGTTACCCTTTGAAATAAGAACTCTCCGCCAAAAGACCTATCCTACGACATCCATAATTCACGTGATAATCATGTGATCGCGTTCAAACTAGGAGTGCTAGATGGAGATGTACAGATACACTACAAGATAGGAAAACAGATTTGAAAAAGGTTATGGCGTTTTCCCGTACCTAACTGACATGACGAAATTATGTTATACCACGCATAACTTAATAAAAGTCATACATTTGAAACGTAAAAAACGAAAGACCATTTAAGGTGTCCTTGAAAATGAATAAAGATGAATGGCAATTAATGGAAGCGGAAAGACAGTCACCGTCAGCTGTCTAAATGGAATCACTTTCGTGATAATACGCCATTGTCCAAGAAGCTAAGCCTATACAGGGTGATTCAAATTCGAGGGCCACCATGGGGATTTCGGGAACTGTAAGAGATAGGTAGAGGTAGTTTAAATTTGCCAAAGTTGCGTATTTTAATGCTTAACAAAATGCAGTTTCGAAACTTAAAAAATTCGACTACTTTCGGAGATATCCGGAAAAAGCCGCTTTGCAAAATCGTTTTTATTTTTTACTGAAGTTATTTAAAAAGATATTTCGAAATAAATGATACATTATTATGGCCGCTTTTGTCCCTCTACAAGATGCTACTTTTAAATTTTAAGTTTGACGTTTCGTCTCCAGTCAATCATCATCAACTTTGTTTTTTCTTATAGAAGTAATTTTTACTTTTTGTGTCATTTGATGTAGAATTTTTTTCCGATTTCAAAAATGTAAACATCGCTATCTTTTAATCATAAATAGCGCTATTAATTCGTAAAAACGCAAGAAATTACTTAGGTACACTATCTAAGAAAATTTTCTAGGTAAAAAAGAAAATATTTTAATAATTAAAAAAAATTGTGATATCTATTTACATATTATATTTTTGAACTCTCTTTTGAATTCTCTATCACATGACTCAAAAAGTAAAAATTACTTCCATAAGAAAAAACAAAGTTTATGATGGTCACCCGGAGACGAAACGTCGGATTTAAAATTTGAAGCTAGCATCTTGTAGAGAAAAAAAGTGGCCATAATAATGTGTTATTTATTTCTAAATATCTTTTTAAATAACTTCAGTAAAAAATAAAAACGTTTTTGGAAAATTTCGGTGTTTTCCGGATATCTCCGAAAGTAGTCGGAATTTTTAAAGTTTCAAAACTGCATTTTGTAAGCATCAAAATACGCAACTTTGCCAAATTTAAACTACCTATCTATGTGTTACAGTTCCCGATATCCTCATGGCGGCCCTCGAATTTGAATCAGCCTGTATATTAATTATTAAAAAATGAGATGCAGGGTTGCATTCTAAACCATGGAATTATAACAGTGGTTATAATTCCATTTTTGTAACAAAAGTAAAGCTGCGGACCGAACCCTTTTCTCGGACGTGCTGTTTAAGGAAAATTATGAAAAGATATCAACCCAAACCTTGATGTGGTAATTGGAACATAATAGTTCGCTATCATCCTATCAACTGGACTCAAAACAAAAAAAATACTGAATATTCGACATTAATTGCTGCGCAGCAGGAAAATGTGGGCTGACTATTCCTAGGAGCAGATGAAGTCGAATCATTTAATAAGGTAGTAATGAGAAAGAGGACGCAGCAAGAATACGTGCAGTTACACGTTTTTGACAAAAATAACAGTTACGCCAACAATATGGGCATATCCACTATGTCTCAGCCGGACAGAACAGTAGATACCCAAGTACCTACGTGACAGGCATGGCGAAAAAGACACTAGCCACAAAATCAAATTAATAGACGAGACCATCACGAAACCTTAACGATTACAAAATTCACAAACATCTATTAGAATGTCCCTTATACGATTATACCAAATATCAGGACATCGATGTGTAAAAAGAAAAACACTAAAGAAACCTTATACAGTGATGAACATACGATACAATAATAAATTATCTGCCAGCACATGATACTTAAGTTGGTAGGGAAGTAGCATCAAGAGCTGATATTAAAGAAATAGAAAAAGCAACTTCCTTCAAGCTTTGGGCAAACTCTGATTCATACACAACTGTTTTCGTAACGTAATCTCAAACCATTTTAGATCTGGATACACGCTAATGTTGGACGGCCGCACCTGCAACGATATCAACGAATGTGCAGACAATCCGCGAATTTGTAGCGGAGGAAACTGTACAAATACCCATGGAGGATTCACGTGTCTATGTACGAAAGGTTTAATTGCTGGACCTGGCAACAACTCGTGCTTGGGTAAATACGTAATCTCTCACGACGGTGAGTACTCAACATTTTTGTTATAGACATTGACGAATGTAGACAGAACCCGAATATTTGTGGTAATGGGGAATGTATTAACACCTTGGGATCCTTCCAGTGTAGGTGTGAGGAAGGGTATTCCGTCAAACCTGGGGAAGAACATGTTTGCTCAGACGAAGATGAATGCTATCTGGGCATATACACTTGCGATGTAAACGCCGATTGCATTAATAATCCAGTAAGTCTTTTTTCTATTTCATTAGCACTATCTCAAGCGTTTGCGTTCTAGGGATCGTACCAATGCCGATGTCAAGATGGTTTCACAGGGAATGGTGTTAGCTGTAGAGATATTAATGAATGTCTTACAAATAATGGCGGTTGTAATCAAAACGCGCAGTGCATCAACACTGATGGTTCCTTCAAGTGCGTCTGTGACACTGGTTTCAAAGGAGATGGTTATGAATGTTCTGATATCGATGAATGTTCAAATGATCCAACGCTTTGTGAAAATGGACAATGTTTAAATTATCCTGGCGCGTTTAGGTGCGAGTGTGACATGGGATTTATGCATCCAGATGAGCATAAGGACCAAGCATGTGTCGGTAAGTAATTTACAGATTGCTTGGGAATGTGTCTCTCAGGGACGTCTTAGATAAGGAGTACGCACGTGACATGAGGTCTCCTTCTTTTAAGCAAATATTTAAAATTGTTGCACTTCTACAAGTTTATCAGAGCTATGCACGATATAAAAAGGCCCCCTCTCGAATTTACTTACATTTCCAAATTCTCTCTAAAATCGCACGTATTCTTTCGTGTTCTATTATTTCTGCCTAAGTAAATTAATGTTATATTCCAAATTATCCGGTTTTGTAGGAGCTACTTTAATAACAACACGCGGGGGGCCTAGGAAGCTTTTAAGACGTCCCTGAGTTAATGAACGAAAGTGTATGAACGGATGGAGACGTGAACAATCGAAATAGGAGACTGTGAAAGTGATATCCCTTTATAGAGACAATTGAAATTTCCGAATTGTACCATTTAGGAATTAGTCTTTTGTATATGCCAATAGTTATATAGTATTATTGTAATTTTAATCTTTAACAATTTACTTACACTATAAGCAAGAGAACACTTTATTGTTCAACCTTACTTCATGGAACATCAATGATATAAAATTAATTAAATGTTAATAGAGAAACCATTCCTAAATTTATACGATTTGTGAAGCTATAGAAATATTGAAACATATCAGAATTTTATAAAAGATTTCTATTATTGACAATTTTTTAATCTAGTTTCCATTACTACAAACAAAGGTTTTTCTCCAGCCGTGTAAAAATTTGTTATTTGTCAGCACAATTAGCTTCGATAGTTGACAATTATTATACTAAAGTAATGTGATGTTACTACACACAACACTTTCTCTTAGCATATTTTTCCCCCTATACACTAATTATACGTCTATTGTATGTAAAAAGATATACTTAACAACAATGTCTTATGTATGCGTTTACATATGATTTAACATCAAGATCTTGGTTGGAGAAAAAATAGTAGTGTAATTTGGATAAAAAGTGAACCTTTTGTTCGCAAATGTTGCGTTCGATCGGCTGCGGACATGATTGATGCACTTTTTACCCTCGTAACATATTACACTATTAATGGTGTTCTATAGTTGTATAAGATTTGTAAATGAGTTTGAATAACTCGGTCATTCATAACAATGACACCCTACCTTCTAACGGAATTGAGGGTTGGGTGATTGACTGACTGTAAATTTCATCGAGACTGAGCACCTTCTCATCAAAAATCATCGACCAAATTTATTACTAGGGTCTCTTGTAAAGGATTGAGGCAAAATGATGAATGATATTTAATTAATTAGTCAGATAGGAAACTTTGCCCTTTAAAAATTTTCTCAATTTACAGACATCGACGAATGTCAAATGTTTAACAATTTATGTGTTCACGGAACTTGCGAGAACGTTTTCGGAATGTTCAGATGCGAGTGCCGTGATGGATTTAAACTGGATAGCTCCGGTGGTAACTGTACTGACGTAGACGAATGCGATAGCCCGCAATCATGCGTATACGGCTCATGCCAGAACGAAGAGGGCACTTATAGATGCATTTGTCCACCCAATTATGATATGATTTCGGAAGGAAATGCGTGCATTGGTAAGCAAACTAAAACCATTCGTACCTGTTAGAAAAGCTGTACCATTCAGATCGAAGAACTTCAAGATGTTTTCTTGAAATTGATAATCAAGGTATATGCCAGTTGCCTACGGCGGATTACGTAACGAAAGCTTCTTGTTGCTGCTCGGTTGGTAAAGCATGGGGTCCCCATTGTGAACTGTGCCCTATTCCTGGAAGTCCAGAGTACGATGAAATATGTCCGGGAGGTTTAGGTTATAAACCAAACGAAATCACTGTAAGCGATAATTTCGTAGATTTCCCAAATTTAATTTGATGCGCCATTGTAGGTGGTTCTAGAGGACATTAACGAGTGTGAAGAACACGAAAATATTTGTAGAAATGGTCATTGTACAAACACTTTTGGCAGCTTTATGTGTTCTTGCAACGAAGGTTTTCATTTAGATCAATCAGGAGTAGAATGCATTGACGTGGATGAGTGCGTTGAAAATCCAGGAATTTGCAATGTTGGACGTTGCATAAACGAACATGGACGCTATTTCTGCGAGTGTCCTGAAGGATATATGCCGTTACCTGGAGGAAGTTAGTATGCCAACCCTATTAGTAGTTAAATTAACTGTAAATATGTAGGGGAGTGCGTTGATATGAGAAGAGATGTATGCTTCCTCAACTACAGCAGGTGGACATGTTCGCTGCCAATGACTCAAAATCAAACGAAAAAGCTGTGCTGTTGTTCAATGGGTCAAGCATGGGGTCAGCCGTGTGAACCATGTCCGATTCAAGGCACCAGTAGGTATATGGGAAACATTCGCGATTTACTTTTATTACTTAAATTGTTACGAAATGCTAATGTAAACTTAATATTTATCTAGGTGAATACATTACATTATGCGGTGTGCGACCTGGCCAGATTATCAACCCAATGACAAACCAAAGTGAAGGAATTGATGAGTGTCAACTCATGCCTACAATGTGCACACATGGCGTCTGTGTGAACACGCCCGGAAGTTTCGAATGCCAGTGCAATCGCGGTTTTATATACGACATCAATTCGCACCAATGTATAGACGAAAATGAATGCCTGCGCCAACCAAATCCGTGTGAAGGAAATGCTCAATGTGTAAACCTACAAGGCAGCTTCGAATGCAGATGTCCAGAAGGATATAAACATGGTTCCAGCTTTATGGATTGTGTTGATATAGATGAATGTATCGAGCATCCGAATATTTGCAACAATGGAGATTGTAAGAATCTACAGGGCAGCTTCCAGTGCATATGCCACGTTGGTTATTTACTCACACCTTCAAGAGATAACTGTCTAGATATTGACGAGTGCGTTAGACATCCCAACATTTGTAACAATGGCACTTGTTTGAATGTGGTCGGTACTTACAAGTGTCATTGCAACCCCGGTTTCAAGCTAAGTCACACCAACGATTGCGTCGACATAGACGAATGTCATATGATGCCATTTTTATGTCGAAATGGACGATGCCGAAACACTATCGGATCATTTGCTTGTGAATGTGCTTCCGGATATACATTAACGGCGGATCATCATAATTGTCGCGATGTGGACGAGTGTCACGAAGTAAGTCGCAATATGTGTTTAGTAATGCATTAAACCTAAACAAATTCAGGTGCCCGGTACATGCCCATCACCTGGACAATGCCTAAATATTATGGGTTCATTTGTATGCACTTGCCCAGAAGGTTATGAACTCAGCCAGGTTACCAATAGATGCGAAGATATTGACGAATGCCAAACAAATCCGGGTATTTGCGAGAATGGTGTATGTACGAATACGGATGGTGGCGCCTTTTGTACATGTCCCAGTGGTTTCATTTTGGACCCTAAGATAATGTCGTGCGTGGATATTCGACAGGAACAATGCTACGACGATTTCTCGAGAAACCAATGTGCCGCCCCTCGCGGTTTTCAGATTACCATGAAGGAATGCTGTTGTTCACGTGGAGCTGCATGGGGTCGGTACTGCCAACAGTGTCCTAAAGAAGGCACAGGTAATATAATCTATATAGAAAATTGTACCTAAGACTGCATAAAATTTTTAGATGATTTCTCGAAATTATGTCCTGAAGGACCAGGGCGAATGGATTCCGGAAACGATCTCAACGAATGTGAATTAATGGCGAATGTTTGCGAAGGAGGAGACTGTATAAATACAGACGGTTCATTCCGATGCGAATGCCCAATGGGGTATGCCTTAGATTCGACCGGTAGAAAGTGTGTCGATGATAACGAGTGTGTCACGACACAAAATGTTTGTGGCAATGGTACATGTAACAACGTAATTGGAGGTTTTGAGTGTTCCTGCGATGACGGATTTGCACCGGGTCCTATGCAGGTCTATTTCTGCGTTTAATTTCGTCACCTCACTTGATAACCGTTATTGATTTACAGGTATGTGAAGATGTTAATGAGTGCCTCGAACTGGGCAACCAGTGTGCGTTTAGATGTCATAACGTTCTTGGATCGTTCAGGTGCATTTGTCCATACGGTTATGCTTTAGCTCCAGATGGTCGTCATTGTCAAGGTTAGTATTATCATTAGGTACTATAGATAACTACAATAAGCGAACAAGTTATGAAACGAACTTAATTATGTGACGAGGGACTCGAGAGTAAGGTTGAGATACAGAAGTCGAGAAACACCCGTTTCTAACCGCAGGCATTGCGGCCCGATCGCCTTTCTGCATGGGAGTCAGAATGTACAAAACGCACTGTTGAAGCTATGGTTGTCGGTACTTCCAAATTATAAGCTATCGCATTTGGGATTGTGGTACTGTTGAACGCCTTTGGTGAAGATTTCTGTTATATACCCTTCATACTTAATTATGCATCATAGCGATAATTGCATCCCCTGATGTCATCAATCCGAAAAAAAACATTTTTATTAATTTTTTTATAGATGTTAACGAATGTTTGACACCGGCCAATAACTGCAAATTCGAATGCAAGAACTTAATTGGATCTTTCATGTGCATCTGTCCGGAAGGATACACGCAAGTAGGTTTAACAGATGATTGCCAAGACATCAACGAGTGCGCAGTAAATCCGGGAATATGCCAGAACGGACACTGCTTCAACCTGTTGGGATCGTACAGGTGCGATTGCTTCGAAGGATACGAGGCATCACAAGATCGAAAATCCTGCATCGGTTTGTATCGGTTATTAAATGTTATCCTTATACTTACGCTACCATTACAGACAAAAGGCAAGGTTTCTGCTTTAGACAATTAATTCAAGGTCGCTGCACCGCGCAGAATTTGGAAATGAATCGCGTAACGAAAGCTGATTGCTGTTGTTCAATGGGAGAAGCGTGGGGTCCGCGATGTGAAATGTGCCCGCCGAAATATTCACCTCAGTATCAAGAGCTTTGCTTAGATAGTGGATTTACTGTTGATGGCTCAGGTAATTATTACCCACGAGAAACAATGTACTATTCTCTTCTGCAGATGTGGATGAGTGTACAACAATTCCGGACCTATGCAGAAATGGTCGCTGTATTAATACGCTTGGATCGTATAGATGCATGTGTCACAAGGGCTTCAAGGTTGATCCCAGTGGAATTTATTGTAGAGGTTCGTTATTGGCAATAGTGGCCTAGTATCCATTATATAACTTACACGAAACTATAAATTTCAGACGTCAACGAATGTCAATTGATTCCTTCTCCTTGTAAACATATTTGTCACAATACCGAGGGTAGTTACGTCTGCGCTTGTCCGCCAGGATTCCTACTAAATCCCGATGGTGTGTCTTGTCGCGACCTTGATGAATGTAGCACTGGGCAGCATATGTGTCAGCATATCTGTATTAACACGCATGGCAGTTACACGTGCTCGTGTCCAAAGGGATACAACCAAGTTGGGGATGATTGCGAAGGTAACCAACCAACCATATAACCAATTTCACTAATAATCGCAATATCCAGATATAAACGAATGCGAAGAGTTAGGAGTTTGTCCAAAACCGGGCCGTTGTGTAAATACTTTAGGTAGCTTTAGATGTGTGTGTCCGAGAGGTTTCCAACTGGATCCTACTGGAACTTATTGTGTCGACTCCGATGAATGTTTGGATGATACAAAATGCCCAGAGGGTACGTAGAGTGTACTTACTATCATAATTTATCACTACCGTAATTTTAGGCTGCCAAAATCTTATTGGAGGATACCGCTGTGGTTGCCCTGATGGATATTCCTTGCATAATTACTATAATCAATGTGTTGATGACAACGAATGTCTGAATACTCCGTGCGGCGATGGAGGCAATTGCTTTAATACTCCTGGAAGCTACAGATGTGGTTGTCCAGATGGGTATCAATTTGATTCCAAACTCAATATATGCCTTCAAGTAATTTCTACACACACTTTAAGGAATTAGGGTAATTTAATTTTTTTTAGGTCAGTTCTGGGTGCGTTGGAGCTCCTTGTGCTTTCGGATGCACATCGTATGGAGGTATGTATTCGTGCGACTGTCCACAAGGCTATCAACGTATTGGACAAGGCCATTGCTTATCAACAATATCGCCATCTTCCTCCAATTACGCTCCCGATTTCGGAAATGTACCAACCTATGCTATAGGCGGTGATAGGACATCTGACGACAAAATTATAACTGGTGAAGGATGTTTCTCATGCAAGGTATGTAGCTGTATAGGTAGATTCTCTTGGGGTTTTTAGAACACTCTTCCTTGTTAGATAAACGGTAGGCATCGCCGGCATTCGACACAGAGGAGCAATTCAACTAGTGGCGAGGAAGTACTGCGTAGGATTTTGAAGAGATCTACGGGCCACGTTAGAGCAAGGAGGCATCATCATGGTGAAGAACTGTTGCTGAATATTCACCTACAGCAAACTAAACATAAGATGCGGATTTTAAAACTTCAACCTGCCGTGAAGGTGCGTGCCCTTTAATTTTTTCTCAAGTTTTTTAATGAATATTTCTATTCTAGAGCGACGTAGAATATTCCATAGCGAAGGGAAATGACAGAAACAAGTTCCAATTAGTCAAGAAATACGGCGTATGGGCATTGCATTTCAAGAGAAGACTAAAACATACAGGAAACTTTGACCTTACAATACACGGCAAACCT